GTAGACTGCGAGCAATCCCTAATAAATAGAGGGATTGCCGCTTTAACTAATTGTCAAGCGTGTTTGATTAAGCTCCGCCTACTTGTTTATATTTCAAAACAGGGTCAAAAACATCTCTTGAAAGGCGTGATCTCGAATGATTCAATTCGCTTGGTGTAAAACCAAACAACGTGTATTTAAATTCTCAAATTTCAGTTTGGCAAGTATGAATATTCATAATCAGAATTTGTCTGGCAGAAAAACGTATAAAGCAAGGCAAGAGGTCTTAGGGTTTATTGAAGGGTCTATTCAATAGACTGTGACTTTCTGCTTCAATATTTTGATATACATTAATAGTTTACAGTAATAAAAAATTACCAACTTAATACAGCTATTCAGCTGAATTACATGGTTAAGATTTACAAGGAGTGTTTGTAATTTACGTCAGTTAAAACGTGCAAATATACCCGCTGCTGAGATGATTTGTTTTTATTGTACTTGCATCCGAGCGAGATAGTAGAATATGCATCGCCCGTTTTTCATTACGGAATCCCAAATTACCTGAGTAAAGACATTGAACGGATACAGAAATCATTGAAGATCCAAATCACAAACTTCGCGGCACTATTGCCGGATTTGAACTCAAATACTGCACTGTCTGCACATTAATCCCTGAGGACTTTCCAATAATTAAGACCAATAGATACATGAACATATTCATAATCGCAAGTTCTACATGTAAACGTTTTAATTCATAGTTCATAGTTTTAGCATTCGTATACGTACTGTACATTTGCATGTTTCCAATTTTCAAGTTTAAATTTTAAGCTTTGTAAACATAGAGGCATAGAGGTTTAGTTTATATAAAAAATACAATCTTTTAGATACATTGATACTGTCAACATGACTATTCCATTTAAGATCAGAACAATACATACAATATACTACGGTGGCCCATACGGGCCAACCCTTCTCCGTAGAAACTTGCACCTTCTCCGTACAAATGTGTTGTTATTCCATGGAAATCAAACTTCTCCGTGGAATATTGCCGTTGTTCTGTCACGGAAAGCCTTTTCTCCGTAGAAATATGCAGTTTCTCCGTGGAAACACGCATCTTCTCCGTGGAAACACGCAGCTTTTCTGTGGAAACACCGCAGCTTCTCCGCGGAAACGCGTAGCATTTCTGTGAAACACGATGCGGTGGCCCGAACGGGGCACCTCTTCTCCGCAGAAACATGCAGCTTCTCCGTAGAAACATGCAGCTTCTCCGTAGAAACACGTGCCTTCTCCGTGGATGAGCACTTTCCTTGTGAATTAAAAAAGGCACGCCCCCCTGAATATTTATTGTTTTATACGACGGGGGGGGAGGAAGAGAAAATAAAGTCACAAGTCAACATCGTGGTCAAAACATTACAAGCTAATTTTATAAATATGAATACTTTAATATGGGCACAGATATCCAGCATATAAATTGTGAGAATTGCCAGGCAGAGATTTTGATCGTTTATAGCTTTTGTAACAATTGTGGAAATAGATACATACTATAAAGTTTTACTTTTTTATATTTATGTTATTATTTTTATTTGTGGATTTATATTTTTTATAAATTGAATATTTAAATATACAACGTATTAATCTGTCAGTCAGTCTCGTATGCGGATCTGCTAGTGTAGGTATGGATATACAAATACCTACACTAGCAGATCCGCATACGAGACTGACTGACAGATTATTAAATACGGTGTATATTTAAATATACAATTTATAAAAATATAAATCCACAAATAAAAATGATAACATAAATATAAAAAAGTTATATTTATGTTATCATTTTTATTTGTGGATTTATATTTTTATAAATTGTATATTTAAATATACACCGTATTTAATAATCTGTCAGTCAGTCTCGTATGCGGATCTGCTAGTGTAGGTATTTGTATATCCATACTTACACTAGCAGATCCGCATACGAGACTGACTTTAAATATTCAATTTATAAAAATATAAATCCACAAATAAAAATGATAACATAAATATAAAAAAGTAAAACTTTATAGTATGTATCTATTTCCACAATTGTTACAAAAGATATAAACGATCAAAATCTCTGCCTGGCAATTTCTTCCAATTTATATGCTGGATATCTGTGCCCATATTAAAGTATTCATATTTATAAAATTGGCTTGTAATGTTTTGACCACGATGTTGACTTGTGACTTTATTTTCTCTTCCTCCCCCCGTCGTATAAAACCAATAAATATTCAGGGGGCGTGCCTTTTTTAATTCACAAGGAAAGTGCTCATCCACGGAGAAGGCACGTGTTTCTACGGAGAAGCTGCATGTTTCTACGGAGAAGCTGCATGTTTCTGCGGAGAAGAGGTGCCCGTTCGGGCCACCGCATCGTGTTTCACAGAAATGCTACGCGTTTCCGCGGAGAAGCTGCGGTGTTTCCACAGAAAAGCTGCGTGTTTCCACGGAGAAGATGCGTGTTTCCACGGAGAAACGGCATATTTCTACGGAGAAAAGGCTTTCCGTGACAGAACAACGGCAATATTCCACGGAGAAGTTTGATTTCCATGGAATAACAACACATTTGTACGGAGAAGGTGCAAGTTTCTACGGAGAAGGGTTGGCCCGTATGGGCCACCGTAGGAAGCGGATGGAGCGGATCAACGGAACGGATATGGGGATAAAATACGGAACGGATGAGGAGAAAATGCGTCGGTTCAATGACGCAACGTCATAACATATCTTATACAGCTATTTCAATTAAAGTTGTCACTGAGACAATATAGTCAAATGTGCAATATGGGCGGATGATGGGAATAATCATAGTTTTAAATACGTTCAGCATATCAGTAGCTTTGTGGGGATGCTTAAACTATATACTTTTAGTTTATTTGTTTGTGTGGCGATGTGCCAAGGCGATGAGTTTATATATAGTGTTCATTCTAGATGTCAATGTGCTTTCAGCACGTTTTAAAAACAAACGCGGAATGTTGTGTTAAAGATATTCGACCTATAACAACCCAGTGTGGATTGTTGTCTGCACATATTTATAACTTACCAGCAGCTACATGTTTTATGCATGTAATAATATGTTAACCGATTTTTGTACAAGGTAAGACGGTCTGTAAAAATATATCTCTGAGATATCAGATATGTCCATTGTTAGCATTATATGAAATAAACCTACCGGCCAACATTTAACAATTATTCGCTGAAGGCGAGGTGATTATCGGGGATTATTATATATCAATAGTCAAAGTCGCATTTTTCTAGTGTTTTATTGGTTGAGAGTATATCACGTGAGAGTGACGAAATTAAGCTGTCTCCCTCGCAACAGCGCGAGAGGGAAACAATACGTTATCGACCGGCGAATAACAAAAAAATCACGTGCACCATCACGTGAAGATGCGACCTTTGAACATGCCTAGTACGTAATTAAAACTTTCGCTTTAAGTAACTGCAGTGTAGCCAGTGTTTAATATAACGTTTTAACGATAAAATATTTCATGTATTTACATTCGTTTGTTCTCTAATTTGTTGTTTCGTTGACTGTTGATATATAATAAAACACTTATTTACTGAGACCTCGGGAAAGCAGTGTGTTTTGTGGACCCTCGACCGTCGATGTTTCCCTCTGCTTCGCCTCGGGAAACATCGACGGTCTCGGGTCCACAAAACACACTGTTTCCCTCGGTCTCAGTAAATAAGTGATAAATATTCACCGAGACAAAGTCAAGGTCAGTAGCCTCGTGGGGATTCTTTTATTCAAGTATTATTGTTTATATATACATGATATTTTGTAGCACTGAGTATTCAGTGGCATGCTAGCCATGGGAACTGGTCATGCTATGCTAATAAACCTGTACTATTTGAATAATGCAAAAACTTGCATAGCATTACCTCATGTTGCTATGCACTTTCTGCCTTGTTGTTTTGCATGCAATCTTTTTAGGCAAGCTTTCCGAGGCTAACACATGTACGCTCTGCGTACCTATTTTTAATTATTGTACAAAATTTCAGACAATTTGCTTTAGTTTAAGCCCCTTTAACTATTGTTGTTATTAATATTATTGTTATTTGTTGGAAAAGACACACACCCCTGGTTTACAAAATTTAAGTTCGACAAATTTTTCATTATTCTACATTATAAGTACCCAAAGAAGCAAAATATATCAAAAACTGGATACTAATAGCTGTTTTGAGAAATTGAGAGCAATTCCAAATCTGCTTAGTTTTTTTTTATACTTGATCAGATGTTGGCAATCCGGTGGATTTTTAAAAATTTTGTCCTTTTTAGTTGACAAGTGTTATGCCGTTAACAGTACGATTCATTGCAGAGGTTGAATCAATATTCACCAGTGTGGAACGTCTTATTTACTATATTATTAATCTGAAACCAGAAGCTCCCTGCTCATTTCCTGCCAAAAACCTGCAGATGACTGGCCTGCCAAAGGAAGCTTATCTATAGTTGGTTTAAAGGTGAGGGAACTTTTTCATAGCTATGCATCAAATGTAGTAAGATGGGTATGTAGAGACTTGAATATACGAGTGACTAGTTTATGGATCTTCTTTAACTGAATACCTTTCGAATAGACAATATA